CAGACCAATAATAATAGAGTCAAATCTTCCTTTGATTAGGGATTCAAATAAAAGGTGACTTGGAACACCAACAAAAAATCAATTTCAAGTGGCGACTCTGTAAATAAAATAATCCCTACTCAATTTTGTCATTTTAATTGGAAAAACCCTTTAATCCACACAATATTATCTTGCGGGTAGAAAAAGGGGTGTGACACCTCTGGCGACTCTGCTGGGGACATTAAGAATTCGAGCTTGTATATTGACTTTATTTGGCTTTATTAATTTTTATATATATTGTGATTTATTTGGGCCTAATCTGTTACTTGTCCACTTTATAGTGTTTTGATATTATTTGAGTCTTCTTAAAGTTAGTTATGTTGAGTTTGCCTACCAGCATCACAAAAAGGCCAAAAACCGACCAAAACGCGACCATTTATGTGTGGACGGTATTTTTGTGGTCGGAAAGGAATACCGACCAAAGTTGGTCGGAAATTACCGATCAACTTTGGTCGGTCAATTAAATTCAAAAAAAAAAATATTGCAAAAAAAATCGACCAAAGTTGGTCGGTATTTTAATTATGTAATAAAAAGATTCACCATCTGAAAATCGAACCGGGGTCTGTACTATAGCAGGATACTATTCTACCACTAGACCATAGGTACATTTTGTTTTAAGATTGTCTTTTATTTGATTTATACTCTTTAATTGTATTTTCGCACGAAAATAACCGACCAAAGTTGGTCGGTTTTATTAAAAACTAAAATTACCGATCAAAGTTGGTCGGTTTTTTTAAATGACCCGCTGAATTAACCGACCAATTTTGGTCGGTTTTTTTAATATTAATTTTTATTTATTTTAATTGAAAAACCGACCAAAGTTGGTCGGTTTCTCGAAACATAAATTTCGCGGGACTCAAAAATAGTTTTTCACGTTTTTGCGCCAAAGAAAACCGACCAAAGTTGGTCGGTTTCGTAAAAAAAAATTAAAAAAAAAATATTTTGAAAAACCGACCAACTTTGGTCGGTTTTTTTACCGACGGTCGATCTTGGTCGGTTTTTGCCAATTTTTAGTAATGATATTATATATATATATAATGATTAATATGTATATGATGTATCCTTTTTTGTGATTATGTCACGAGCTGATATCTTTCAGTTACTTATTAATTCAATTCAACACGATTTATTGATTGATAGGCTGTGTATATCAATCTGTTAATGATTGATGATATCAAGAACACATCCTGTTTAGTAATTTCCGTTTTTTATAACAGCAACAATTAATTATGTACCATCTTAATATCAACCAGTCTTTTATTCTTGTCAGGTTATCATAAAAGTGGCATTTCTGGTGGCTGCTTGCTAACTTCTATAAATTTCTTCAAAAGAAAAAAAAATGAAGGCTAACCCCATACACACGGTTAGAATTTGGACTGAACTAACATTTCAAAGATCAAATGAAGCATTGAAATGCTGATCAAAATCAAATTTAAGTTTTTAAACAATATAAATATAATTGATAAACAAAAAAATAAAGATTGAGAAGAGTGTTGTATTTATATTTGAAAGACAGATGGGTTAAATCAATGAGGAATAATTTAATAAATATAAATTTTTGGCATGGGTATATTTGTATTAGAAAAATTAATGTGTTCTTCGGCTTGAGAAATTGTAACGTCTTCCCAAAGGAAGGAAAATTACCTCTCCTACTGCTTAAAATACTTTTTTTTTCTTGGTTATATACCACAAATCCCCCAATAAAAAGTGTATCATTTAAAATGAAACAGATGGAGTATATATATAAACACACTCCCTCATATACGCAAATTATTTTGACTTAAGCAATTGGATGAGCGGTTGTTTAAGTTATTGTTTCAAACATTTTAATAGAACACTTTTTATTAGGGGATTTGAGGTATATAATCAAGAAAAAAAAAGTATTTTAAGCAGTAGGAGAGGTAATTTTNTATATATAAATTATATATATTTGACGAAATATTTGTAGCTTCCAAAAATTTGACGAAACAAGCTATAACCTAGATTGGGCCAATCCTTCTTTGTATCTCCACATGGGCCATCTAGCTGCATTGGACTCGTGGAGATGTCGTAACGCCGAAAGATTTAAGTCACGTGCGGTGGGACCCGCATCACTGCTAAAATCACGTGATAATGACAGCTTCTTTGTTTCTGACTTCCTTCTAGTTCTAGTACTTGTTTGCCACTTACAGCAGTTTAACGAGTATCGGAATTTACGAGGAGTTTGAGGCACGGCTGAAAGCTAATTCCTGTATAGTTCTGATTCTTTTTACTTTCGTAAGTCTCTTTTTCTCTCTGTTTTGCTGCTTTATGTACTGATTATTTGGAGATTTGTTTGTGGAATTGCATGACCCTATTGATCTCTAGTTGTGGAGTTATTAAATTTTGTTGATTTTGGAAATGGGTATTTGTCTCTCAAGAGAAAATGATTGTTTCTCGGATCAAAAGAAGGTTTTTTGGATGTTTTTACTCTTTTTTACCACTTTTTTGCTCCTGTCTTTGTTGTCTGACTGCTAAAGACAGATCCAGGTTTTTAATAAATGGGTTAAAAATAACGCCACCCACCACCCTGTTAAAGAAATGGACTTTGGGGAGTATTTTGGCTATGAAATTATGGATTGTAGTCTCTTTATACAGTCTTGAACAATTAAGGTTGAGTTAGGTCTAAGGTTCATCTGAGTTTCCCAATGTTTGGCCCTACAACAACAACAACAACCCACTGGAATTCCACAAGTTTGGCCCTATTTTGTGTTTTTTCTTTTTTCAGTCTCCTACTCTGTGTTCCGTATCCGAATTGGAGCCCCGACTAATTCGGATTCGCGTAAAGGGAAGCACAAAGACAGAGCTAGGATTTGAAGTTTATGGATATTGACATTGCCACTAAGCCCATAGCACCTCTTAGTTACTCTGATTCGCAATTAAATATTTATACATATTTAATGGATTTCTTAATACAAATACAAGGTCTAAGAAAAAAGTTACTGGGTTCGTCCGAACCCGTAATACTCTACCTTTGCCCCTAAGGAAGCGCACCCTAATAAGATTTTTTCCGTTGTCAATATTCGAACCTGAGACTTCTGGTTAAGGGCGGAGGGATCATATTCATCCCACCATAAACCTTGGTGGTGCCCCATTTTATCTTATCCATGCTTGAAATATCCAAAACTGGTCGCGCAGGGATGTCAGACTTCAACATTGATTATGAGGGTATGGACTATAGTATCTTTGTATTGTCTTAGATAAACCACGCTTGTTGGGCTAGTTTTCGGAGCTTAGTCAGGTCCAAGGACCAGCTTTTTAACGGAGCGTCTGGTAGGAGTTGAGTCAAGTCCAACATTCATTTTCTTAATAGAGTGTGATGGTGCGTACAAAGGCAGGTGTGCCTCCACACCTGCTGTCCCCAATATTGACTGGTTGTGCACTGTGTAGTGACTGCATAAATTTAAATGATTGAAACCTCAGAGCAGTGTTCAGGATTTCGAGCATCAGTGTTCCTGTGCAAGTCTGATTCTGCAAAATGCACAAACTAGACCGTAGGGTGTCCTATCCACACTACAAACTAGTATGCTTCATCACAAGTATGAACTTAAATAGAGTGCCGTACGTTCAAACTAGTATTAATCATTCATGCATAAAAACTATGAAATTCTGTTCTTTAAACATTCACTTCTCTTCAATATAAACCATTATCTATGGAGAAACAGCTGTGAAATTCCGACAAGGAAGAAAAAAATAAGAATTTTCTTCCCGTTGCCACCTTATCTTCTTTCTTTGTGTAAATTATGAATTATCCTTGGCTTATTAACTTGTCGCCTAAATCAACAAGCATCATAAACTTGAGTCTTGTAAGCCGAATACCATTTGATAGTTATCTTTTATATGAATGAATGATTTAAGATTAAGTGTATTCTCAGTGTTTGTAAGAGGTAATATATTTGTACAACGGTAGTGCCCGGGCCATCTTGCCCACACCTCGGCTATTCTACCGGGTACTTGTTACCTCTCTGCCACTAGGGCTTAGGCTGATGTGAAGAAATCACCTAGTAAGCATCCAACTTTTCCCTGAGACATCATAGTTTTCCTCCCGCTTCATTGACCACTAGGCCACACCCTTGGGTGCATAAGCAACAATAGGAAAAAAGTTACACTGGACTGATGCTTTTCTTTCAATCCGCAAAATATTTTATTTAAGGGTCAATTTGTAGGTACAAGTAACATATTCAAACCTTAAAGGATAAATTTGACTCTCAAAAGGTAAAACCTGAATTAACCGTGGTGCACTTGCGGGAAACTCCTTGCCGAGGGCCTGTGCACCCCCGGGATTAGTCGAGTCTCAAAGAGACTCGGACACCCGGTGCAAATCAAAAAAAAAAAAAAAGTAGACGACTCTCTTTCAATAGAATTGATCGATTATATTGAACATTAAACCGGAATTACAAAGCAAACACTAACTA